AAATATATACACGTATATGTCCGTGAGTGTACGTCTGTGTGTGTAATATATAAAAAAAAAATGTATGCGCGTCACCTTTTACAACAGACCCTGTATTAAGGAAACGTAATGGTTGGATATATATATATATATATATATACATATATATATATCTAGATATATAGATATATAGATATATATATATATATATATATATATATATGTCTGATTATATATGTATATTTTATGTAAATTTAGTTACTGTTTGTTTGAAAATATTTTTTTTTTTTTTTGTGATTAATGGTTTTTGTGTAATAAATTTAGTAATTCTTTTGTTTTTATGAATCTGTGTATATAACCATATGTTTTACTTCCCGTATTTGTAATCCAAGTAAAGAAACATCTAATATATTTTTGATATTTTATGAAGTTTGATGTCACATTTCGAATTGGAAGTAATAAATAATTATTAGGAAAAAAAAATTAATAATAAAAAAAAAAAAAAAAAAAAAAAAAAGAGGAAAATAGCAAAACCCGAACCCGACCCGAAATAACCGGGTACCCGGTTGCCGGGTACCCGGTTATCTCGGGTCGGGTTCGGGTAATGTTTTTTTTGCAAAAAACCCGAATAACCCGACCCGAATAACCCGAATAACCCGACCCGACCCGAATGCCCACCCCTAATTGATAGCAATAATAAAATATTTTATTATCATTTTTTAATTATAAACTAGAGAATTTATTTAGTATACTGACAATTAGCTCAAACAACTACAAGCGAATCGTCCATCTACCTTCACCTAATTAAAGTTGAAATTAAGAATTCTTTTTCAAACTATGGTTGGATTTCTCATGAAATTAATATATGATGTTGGAAACTTGGAATCAAGATGGCCTTTCATTATCAATGTAGTCACAACCGGACGACCATTTGGATCATTGTTCGATAGGGTCGAATCCGTTCAATCGAGTTTTTTTAATTTAGTATTTTATTAATTTTAATATTCAAAAAATACTTTTTTTCCCCTCCAATTATACTATAATTCATTTGTTTTCATTTTATATATTCTCATTCTTGTTTCTCGAGGTCCGTCCATCACCCCTAGTCCACCACCTATGATCGTATCCGTCAATTCACCATCCTGATTCGATCACCCACGACCAGATCTTACTAACCACAGTTATTCTCTCGTCAAGGCTCGCTCAGATCCGGTCACAAATAACTAATTCTACTTGTGGTTTGACTTGTTTTGACCGAAATCGGATTTTTTAACCAGTTCGTTGGTTCCTAGGTTTTCCGGTCAAACCATGTTTTGTTCATTTGACATCGGCTTTTCAAGTTTTCGATTTTAGATGTCAGTTCGGACCGCCTCATCGCCGTCATACCAATCAAATTCAAAATCAGCATCATCATATAAATCATATAATAAAGTTCATTATCATATAAAACTCTTATATTGACCGATATTTGAGGGATTTTTTTTTTTTTTTTTAGGCAAAAGTGATTTTTTAAAAAAGCCAATCAAAATCTCACTAAAAAAAGAGAAGAAGAAAAAAAAAAAAAAAAAAAGCCAATCAAAATCACAGAAAAGCCATAATGTATATTTAGTGATTTTGTTTTATTTTTGGGCTTTATACTATTAAATGTTAATTGCATTTTGGGCCTTCGTGTTGATTGAAACATATTAAAAGCGGCCCACTTTTACCTAATATATCACAAGCCCGAGAAAAACCTTACTTCTGTAATTTATTTATTTTTTAAAAAAAAAAATTACAGCTGTACTTTTTGGTGCAGTTGTGAAATTAAATATGGAGTTAGGGTTGCATTAATTGGGGGTGGAGGAAAAATCAAATAAGGTGAGTAATGGCTATCTAATTCTCTGAAATTGACATAAATAGTATAATGTGGGTAAACATTAGTACATTCTTTTCATTTAAGGGCATTCAAAGAAGTCACGAGCAACGAGTGTAATTTCATCATGGTTATGTAATTCGAGGGTGGTAGAAATTTAAAGAGAATGACCAAATTTAGAAGCTTCTACGGTTCACATTTAACTTCATACCTCTCGTTCAACGGTTTATTTTATGTTGTTATGCATCTCGCTAGATAGCACTTGTGTGTACATAAATGGCAAGATGTACTCGCTACTCGTATTTCATCTGGTGCAGCATTAAATAAGCCCATAATTTGAACTCCATTGGGCTATAGATCTGGGTGAATTTTTTATTTTTTTTGAATTATGATGCGGGTCCAATCTGATATTTCGAGCAATATTTTTCTTTCCGATTACATGTCTCGTATCTCTTGAAGAAAATGATTTGTTCTAAATTTTTGGAACCTTTTATGAAACGATACGAAGATTTCGATTTGTCGATCTGATCGTAATTTTCGATACTAATTCTTAAAATTATCAGAATAAAAATATTGAAAATTACAATTATGGATATATTTCAATTTTAATTTGGAACAAATTTTTTATCCCGATTTTTTAGAAAAAAATGGAACAAAATTAGAATTGAAATTAGAACGGTAGTACAAATTCAAATCCAAAATTTCGAATAATACCAATTTTCCAGACACGCGCGCGGGATTTCTACAGGCATAAATGCATATTAATTTTATTACAGTAGAGAAGCAGATTTTATAAATGCCGGTTTGTCAGTACTCACTACTCAGTACTGAAACAACACCACGTGTAAGAACCGTCGGACAGACGGTTGTATAATCAATCTCAGCCTAGTATTTTACCCATTTAAGGCAACCAATTTATCATATACCAACCAACACCTCAAAAAAAGGCTAAATATAAATCCCCAGATAATTAATTTCTTAGGAGTAACTGCAAACTGTTTCCTATACTTGGGTAGTGGAAACTCAGGTGATTTGGTTGATTCATAATTTACAATTTACTTGCAAAAGATCTCAAACGTAAATATATCGGAAATTTTCGAAATTTAATCATACTACACTTCCTTGATCGGAGGCATCTTCGTAGTAATAAGGCGTCAATTTACCGTCTTTTCCAACGGAATTATGCTGGTTCACATTGCCTATCTCTTGCAACATTTTAACCACCCTTCTCATTGAAGGTCGATTAATAGGAAGAGGGCTCGTTGAGAGTAGCCCTATATTCAAGACTCTGCATATCTCGTCTTTAAAACATGAATCGAGTTTCGGGTCGATGACATGGTCGACGCCCTTTTGGTCCAACGTGGTGCACACCCATTTCACCAAATCCTTCTCCCCGAACTCGGGATCTACGGGTAGTTTACCGGTGACCAATTCAAGAATCACCACACCGAAGCTGTATATATCGCTCTTCTCATTCACCCGAAGCGTGTAAGCGTATTCTGCAAAAAAATGCAAATACGGGTTTTCTTTATTAATGATTGTTAATAACAACAATACCAACATAAAAGCAAATAATTTATAAAAAAAATCGAGTATACCTGGCGCAATATAGCCACAAGAGCCTGCAATAACCGACATGGACTTGGAGCCTTTGGCGTTCACATCAAACACCTTCGCCACACCGAAATCTGCAACACGTGCACCATATTCCGAATCGAGCAATATATTATTCGACTTTATATCTCTGTGAACAATCGGAGGGGCACAATCGTGGTGCAAGTAAGATAGCCCCTCTGCAGCATCCATTGCTATCTTGAACCGAATCGGCCAATCCAATAAGCCACTCTTCGTACTGTGAAGAAGATCACCTAAACTACCATTAAGCATGTACTCGTAAACCAAAAGCTTGCAATCTCTAGTAGTGCAACAACACCATAACTTAACAATATTCTTGTGCCTGATCTTCCCCAAAGTCTCCACCTCAGCATCGAAACCGTCATCTTGAAGATTATTATTATTGTTATTGCCCTTTTCCACGTCATCGCTGCTCTGATAATCTCGTACTGATTTCGAACGACCCCATAGCTTTTTCACTGCAACCGCTTCGCCGCTGCTCAAGACAACCTTGTACACCTTTCCCGATGAACCACTTCCGATAACGTTGTCCTCGTCTAACGCGTTCATTATTTCATCCTCGCTGAATCCCAGCTTGTGAAACGACATTAGTGTCCATTTTGATCTGTCAAACGATTTTTTGGTGTTGTTGAATTTCCTGTACTTCAATTGGAACCAAATCAAACCGATAATAAGAACCAATCCGGCGAGTATGAAAATTGACCTCAGCAGCCACAGATAGCCCATGTCTTTGACTCGATTTTTTCCTTCACAAAGACCGTCGATTTCGCCGCATAATGCTGGATTTCCGACGAAGCTATCTTTGTAGATAACCTTGGCATACAATGGTGGGATGTCGCCCGAGAGACGATTGTTTGACAAGTTGAAACGGTTGAGCTTCAGATTCTGCAAACTGACTGGAATTTTGCCGGAGAATTGATTTCCTGATAAATCGAGATAATTTAAATCGGATAATTCACCGATCTCGTCAGGAATATCCCCTGAGAAATCATTGCTTGCTAAATTCAGCTCATTGAGCTTCTTCCAGGAATGAACCCCACTAGGAATTTTGCCGGACAACTCGTTGTTATGAAGATCCAGCTTTACTAATTGCCCGAGATTCACAATACTAACTGGTAAAGAACCTGATAATTTATTGTCGTTGACAGAAACTTCGAGCAAGCTATCCAGAAATCCGATCTCCTCCGGTATACTGCCAGAAAAATCGTTACCGGACAAAATCAGCTGAGATAAATTGGAGGCGCCGGCGATGGTTTTTGCAATTCCGCCGGAGAATGAGTTCCCGGCGAGCTCGAGTAACGAGACGTGTGGAAGCCCCCAAAATCCCGCCGGCACCTCACCGGAAAAGTTGTTGTGCCCTAATCTCACGCGCAACAAGCTCCGGCATTCGGCTAGGGTAGGAGGAATTACGCCGGAAAATGAGTTTTCGATCAGCAACAGCTCTTCGAGACCCCCATTCAAACACAGACCTTCTGGAATTTGACCGGAAAATTTATTAGTTGAGACATCAATCCACCGCAACGGCGAGCTTTTGCCGAGATTTGGAGGCAACTTTCCAGACAATTGATTTTGAAAAAGTCGTAATTCATACAAATTCGGTGAATCAGCAATGCGATCCGGTAATTCACCCAGCAAGTTGTTCTCGTAGAGATTAAGTGACTCCAGCGGCAACTCGCACAACTCAGCGGGTATCCGCCCAGTCAACTCGTTCATGGAAGCGTCGAGCCGCCTCAACGACTTCATGTTTGACCACCCCGTGGCGGGCAACTCACCGCTCAACGAGTTGTTATACAGCTCAAGCTGGACCACGCTCGTCAACTCAGTGAGAGAACTCGGAATCGGACCGGTCAATGAATTGTACGCCAGGTCCAAATCCGTGAGCCTACCGAGTCGACCCAGTGAGTCGGGTATTTCACCAACTAAATTAGTCTCTGTCAGCCACAGCACCTCCAGATTGGTAAGGTTGCCCAGCTCCGGTGGAATGCGTCCCGGAGAAAACGGGTTGTAGGAGAGATTCAACTGCTTCAGCGAGGAAACGTTCCCGAAAAACGCCGGGATTGTTCCTTCCAACAAATTCTCCACTAATGAGAGCACCTCGAGTTTCTGGAACGTTCCGAAAGTTTCGGGGATGATACCGGAAAAGTTATTCCCGGTTAAATCGAGGTACCTCAAATTGGGGAGATCCGCTAATCCGGTGGGGAGCGCACCGGTCAAGTAATTCTGAGCCAAATCAAGGTGCTCCAGCGATTGGCACAAGGCGAGATCGTCTTCCGATAGGGTTGAATTGATGAAATTGTCGTAGAGAGAAATGAAGGACAAGCCTTTGAGGCGGCAGAGAATGGAAGGGAAGGGGCCGGAGAGGTTTGAGCTGGAGAGATCCAGCGAGACGACGGAGGAGCTGGTGGCCGAGTCGCAAACGACGCCGTTCCACTTGCAAGGCGTCTCGTCGAGAGAGTTCCAGTCGGAGAGGACGGCGTTTGGGTCGTCGAAACCGAGCTTGGCGCGCTGGAGGTACACGCCTTCTTCGTTCAGACATGAAATTAGAGGCGGCGATAGTAGAACGACGAGGAGGAGGAGATAATTATTGCGGCGGTGTCGGTGGCGCAGCATTTTTCCGGCGGGACGGTGGGCGGTGGGTGGTGGTCGCTTTCGTTTAGTAGAGTGAGAAAGAAAGGAGAAGGGATGAAGATTGGAGTGAGAATTTTGACTCAAAACGACAAAGACATGTTTTTTTTATGATTGTGAGAGAGAAACTTCAAATTTTTCTTATATATATAAAGAAATGTATAAATAGGTAAATAGGTAAAATACAGATGGATATACATTCAAAACATACCTGGAAGAGAAACGATGTCGTTTTTGTTTCTACGTGGGCTAATCTGAATTTGGGAGTTATTTGTCACTTGGGCCTATGGGTAGGCCCACCAATATTTTTAATTAAATTTACCCCCAAAATATATGGTGGATCATTTGTTTTTAATTAACATAAACTCAAATGCTTCTTGTATAATTTACATTGAATTATATCATTATATGTATTATTGTATTAGGCTTAGAAAGTGAAATACACGCATTGAATGTGCATCAACTACCAACTACAAAAAGAGGATTGAAATGCAATTAGGATGTCTTTCATTCCTTCAAAAAAAGCATGAGCATGACTCTATCCAATTTTGTACTTGGTGGTTATTGTTACATGTCTTGAAACTACTACATGACCATTGACCAATTCAATCACAATAAATAAACAAATAAATTAAGTCTCTTATAGGATGATCTAGTAGTTGGAGCAAGTAACTTGTGCCAATTGACCAAAGTTTAAAATTTCATTGTTAACAATCGTTAAGTGGAGCTTGTCACACGTGATTAGCGTAGTGTAGTTTACAGCAAGTTCGAAATCTACTGTAAACGGTCGTTAAGTTGAAACTTGTCATACATAGTTAGCCTAGTGTAGTTTACGACAAGTTTGATATCCACTGACAACGTTAGTTAAATTAGAACTTATCACACACGGTTAGTTTAGTGTAGTCCATACAGTTTGCTGTGTGTTCTTTAATTAAAAAAATAATATTTTATTCCATGGTTTGCTATGGAACAATGCAACCGACACTAATGTCGAAAATAGAGCACTAGCTTAGTGACATTGCATTGGGTAGGTATATCTTTGGAATTCTAATTACTATAATTTATAATTTAATTAATCCACTCATAAATCATAATCAGTGTTATAAGAGCAGAAATCAACTGTAACACGAGTATCATGAAACCAAGTGAGAGTTCGACACGTGTCACGCCAATTTACGAGATTTAAATGTTTAATTTAAAACACAAAATTAGTCATTCTATTCTAATGGCACACCCTGCTACAAAATGCCAAAATACAGTACAAATCTGAAACTCAGATTTACTGTAAAAAAATCTGCGGTGATGACACAGAGAATAAAACAGTAGGGGTGCACAGTAAAAAAAGTCAAAAGTGCGCAGTGAAAAATCTGATACTTGTCATACTCCAATATTTTCTTCTTTTTTCAACACTTTCTCGAAGATTACAGATCCCGAGAATTTTGGTTTCTGTTTTTTCTTCAACTTTTTACCAGTTGTGGGTTAAAAAAAAAAAAAAAAAACATGGCACAAAGAACCGGGTATGGGACTATGGGTAACTATTTTTGATATTCGGGTCGGGTCTTTATTTTGGGCTTGCAGTTAAATAGTAGTATTTTATTGGATGGAGGAAATACCCATTTGATCCACAATTTGTTTGTTTTCTTAAAAAGCATAAATAAATAATTATTATAATTTAAAATGTTACTCCCTCTACCCACTTCAAGAATTATTAATTATCTATTGTTTCTTTAAACATATTAAATTTATTATTTTTTATTCATCAAAAATAAAAGGGTAAATTACAAACACCCCCTGAGGTATGGTCAAATTACAAAAACACCCCTCTTATTTGGATAATTACATCTACCCCTCAACTATGATTTTTTCTTAGACCTCCACCTTTATGGTGCCAAATTCAACATAGTCATCTAGATTCCGTGAAATGTGCTCTAGTTTGTACTTTTTTTGTGTAAAAAATACAGTTTTCGATGCACCACAAACTGATATATACAAGCTAAAAATCACATATTATGGTCATCTAGCTTCATAATGTGGAGTTTGAATGGGATAAAACGGGTACAAAAGTGATAATATTCCATATAATCTCGAAGATTCCACTAAATTTGATGAGTTGAGGGGGTGGTTGTAATTATCCAAACAAGAGGGGTGTTTTTGTAATTTGTCCATACCTCAGGGGGTGTTTGTAAATTACCCAAAATAAAATAAAAAGCCAGCAGATTTTGGAGCTTTACGAAGACTTTGGTTTGACCGGTGCACCATGCACCTTATTTTCCAAGTTGACGGCTGCTCACACTTTCTTTTCACATTATCACTCTTAACTCTTAAGTATAACTCATCTATTAATTGAAATAAAAAAAAATCTCTTATAAATAATTAAAAATGATGGTAGAATTTCGAAATAATTAGGGGGGGACAATCACGGGCACGATCAATTAATATGGTCGTACTAGAAACCCAATTTGTAATTAAGAGCAATATTAAATAGCTAGCAACTTACATAGAATCTGGATGTACAATTAATTGACATGATTTGCTAGCGTGACCGCACCTTTTCAAATGTACAACATTATATCTTTAATTTCAAGACTTTTACTAATGAAAAGAAGATTTACCCGTTGGTTAATAAAAATCACCTGACCAGCAGTAAATTTCACATTCAATACTTCACCTAGAAAACAAAATTTATTGGTTCCTATTCGAGTGACAAAGAATAAATTGTATTTACAGTAGTTGGTGTTGATTTTACAAAACAGTTAATGTTTGTTATTTATAGTTCCTCTAACTATTATTTATTACTCCTGATAATTTATTATTGAGTTCGTTGAGAATTTAAACTTCTCATACTTTCTTGAAATAAATGCAAGGCCAATTGAGTATCCTGTACGTAGGCTGGACATGGGGCGGGTCGGATAATTATCTATCAATTATCTGACGATCAAAATAACTGATTTTACTAAATATTGAAAACTATTAGCGGGTCTGACCATTATGAGTCTGATAATGGCTGGCAACTAACTTTGTAGAATAAACACTGAGTCGGTTAAAATTACCCGACCAACCGACTTTTGATAAACTGAAAACGATCTATTTATATACGGGTAGGTTACAATTACCAGCCCGACTGTATATGTCAGGTTAGTTATACACTACCATTACAGAAGTAGTGTAATCATATGTTAGGCGCATTTTTTAACTCACGATGCATTGTCTCTTAATCACAATGTTCGCCATTCAGTCTTGTACTTATCAAATTAGTATTAATTAGTAGAAAGCATACAAAAATAATCTAATTAAATAAAATTGAAGAAGCAAGTAGGGATTATTAATTAATGATGCTAATGGTGGTCCAATCAAGGAGTCCCCATCTAGCTAACACAATCATGATTTACTCCAATAGTGATATTAGTTTAATTTATTAGTTTTAATCCAAATAAATGTAAGAAAAATAATTATTTCAAGATTGAGGTCACCCACACACAGATCTTTGTGGGGGGCCTAATCTATATATATTATCAATTTTTTCACAAACTTTGAGGCAGAGGGCACACCTCAAAATTTATATTATTTCAATTATAATGAAAAATATTGAATTGGATAATAAAAAAAGAAAATGGGAGATGGGGAAGAAAACAAAGGCATCATCACCCACCCATATGAACCTGTTTCTTGCTACTTTCATGATTGTCATCTTATGTCTTAGACACATCATATATATATATATATATATATATATATATATATATATATATATATATATATATATATATCATTCTTTTAATTACTAATCGAGTAATTAATTAGGAGGCACATGAGAGTAATCTTCACTTTTAAAACAGGTAATTAACAGGCTGTTCACAAGTGTGTTTAGGTTGGAAGAAAGCTACTTGATTAAAAGTTGTAATCTATGTAAAAATTTAGTCTGTGTTTATAACTTTAAATAGAGTCTAATTATTTAATTGAATAAAGGCAGACTAGCTATGCATACTAATTATGAAAGTTAAATTTGGGTTATGGTTGCAAAATTTGAAAGCTGATGGCATAGATACGGTTCGTAATTCTAGTCACGTGGAATATTTAAGAGGAATTGATGTTTGGGACCCTGTCTAATTTCTTTACCTACTCCATTAATTTAAATTTAATTAATGTATTATTGGTGCTCAACTGATTATGCAGCAAATTAAATGAAAAATGTTCTGCAAGGAATAGTCGTGTAACAAATGAACTTTTGTTAACTGACTTAAGTTCGAATCACTTAGCGATTGTTTGTCGCTTGGTGAAACTTGTCACATACGGTCAGCCTAGTTTGCTTTACGTTTCTCGTATGATTTACTAACTATTATAAGAAAGTGTAGGTTCACCCAATGCACCTATATAATTGAGCGTGAGTTCCTTCGTTATCAATAAAAATTGAATGAAACATCGTCTACCAAATCAAGTCCCTCCTCTCAATGCAAGCCAAATTAAATATTAAGAAAGTTGGGGAAAAATAAACCTATGTCAAAATCATGAATAGTGCAAATAGAATAGAAAATAAAATGCATATAAATTAGAATTGGGATTTTGTTGGAAAAGATGAACCAACAGCTGGCAAGTATCAAAAGCCCTAGAGAGAGATTGATTGATTGATTGCTAGGGTCTATGGCTTGCATATAATTTTTTCTTAGGTTTTTTTGGTTGGAATTTTTCTATCTCTTATTGAGATAGGCTATTTATTTGATTCTGAGAAAATTCATAAAATGACGAAATTAGGAAATTGAAAAGATGACATATAAATATGCATCAATTATGATCATGACAAGAAAATACATGTTTTAATTAATCTAGAGAATTGAAACTTGTTATTTCTATGCTAAGCCTAATGAAGGTATGTCGGGTGAGTTTTGAGATTTTACAATTCATCTAAACACACCAATATGAGTGTGGGAGGTTATGAATCAAAAATTTATCCGGCGTATTTCACGCCGATGTATCATAGCATATACGAATAGAGTATTTCTATGCTACATTCAACGAAAGTTACTTAGGGTGGATTTTATGAGTAAATCAATAGTGGTATTCTGTGACATGAATTTTCTTTCAAAGTCTTGTTAGTACTAAGATCTTAAATTAAATTTGGATGGATAAAAATAGAAGAAAAAAATATTCTATAAGGTCATACTAGCACTGAAAAATCATTTAAAAACAAGATGATTACTATTGTTAATGAAGAGGAGTTCATTTTAATTAAAATCCCGACAGATTTATATTTTGAATAAAGAACATATTTGTTATTACAATATGCTGTTGTAGCCAATAGTTGGTTTTAAAAGCAAAATCATTGTCATTTTATGATTGGCACTCTTCTCTTGCCATAGAAAAACACCACTCCCTAAATATAGGGAATCGAAGTTCAGGCAGCCAATCATCTCTTTACTAGCAAAATAATATCTATTTACTAAAGTCGAAAAAGAAAATTTAAAAATAAAGAGGGTCCCTGCTTCTAATAAGTACTGATAAATAAGCATGACAAGAAATAACACTCCTTTTTGTGCTTTAAATTTAACATACATTTTTGTGCAAAATTTTGCTTTCTTGTCACCACTCGAAAACCTTTAATTGCATTTGGGTCCCTTTATTTTGTGGGTCTCTCAAAAGTACGAGCATACTAATTTTAAGGAACACTATGATGCCTCTTTTTATTTTTATGATCATGGCATTCTCTACTTTTAAATGATGAACACCTACTCTAAATGCCACAACTTCATCAATAATTTCATTCTTCAGTCTAACTATGCTTAGGTGCTCTAATTAGCAAGCATGATTTCTTGCAATGATTGTAAATAATTGATGTGTTGTACTGCAACATTGATTAGGCTTAGTTGCCTCGGTCACACTTACGAACAATGTGTACACTATAGAAGTACACAAATAACTACCCACTAACCACAAATACACATGTGTGCATGTGTTATTATGTGTGAATGAATGGTGCAGAATCACCCGGTGTATTACACCAGATGTAGCATCTACAAAGACCCATTATTTATAATCATTTATCGGTTCTTAATGTATATATTATATTACTCGTTGAAGTCCACCCGATGTAGTTATGTAGGACAAACTTTGGGCTCTTTGGTTTGAATAGTTGTAAACTTTTCAATTCCAACTAAAATTAGTGGGCCCAAGTTTAATGGAAGGGTTGGCTTAAAAGGCCCATTTAAAAGTAAAGAATAAAAGCCCATAAGCCCACAAACTAATTATGGGTTCTTTAATGGTTAGTGTTCTAATTTAGACAAACGTGTGACATATATAATCCTAAATCGTGCCCGCTTTGTCATGATGACGTAATAAAACGCTTAATAAAAAGAAGAATTATGCTATTTAGGGAAAAGGAGAAAAACAGTAAAAGCAGCAGAACAAGAGCAAAGAAACGTCACCTTAAAAAACACGAGTAAAGCAGCACAAGAAATCCATGCTGAAACTTTGCGTCTCAGCAAAATAACTGCATTCAGTGACGTCCCAAATCCCAATCTAATAAACTTCTACTCCATCCTTCCAAACATAAAAAAATTGGAACACCAAAACGTTACTCGAAAGCTCTGATCCCCGAAAATTAAAGATGACGATGAAGTACTAACTCATCACCAACAAACCTGGAAAGGGAAATTCGTAATGTGCAAAAAATCGTGCCGAGAAAAAAGTTGCTTGTTTATGTTTCTTGCAAGGCAAAACTAGCTTTGCTCGATTGCCTTCCCTTCCACACAACCCAATCATTCTTTACTTGCCTATAAATAAAATTTATCATCACAAACAAGCCCGGATCATAAAATCGAGAATAATAAATAGCCAGCTAAAAAAGCTTCTTGAAAAATGCAGATCAAAGTGGAAAACGAAAATGCAAACGGATCATCTCAAGAAATCTGCGAAGAAGAAGAAGTGCCCTTACTTGCGTACAAAGGCATACCCGAAGTGCAGAGAAACCCAATCCAGCAAGCCATTAGCGAGACGTTTGCAAGCACTGCCCACCTAGCCAACCTTCTGCCAACTGGCTCAGTGCTCGCCTTTCAGCTTTTATCCCCGATATTCTCGAATCAAGGACAGTGCGACTCAGTGAGTCGATTCTTGACTGGTGGGCTGGTGGCACTCTGTGGACTGTCTTGTATTTTGTTGAGCTTTACAGATAGCTTCAACGACCAAAAGGGGAATATATATTACGGTTTCGCCACGTTTCGTGGCTTGTGGATCATAGATGGATCGGCAACTTTACCTCCGGAGGTTTCAGCAAAGTACAAGCTAAAATTTATCGATTTCGTCCACTCGTTGATGTCGATATTGGTTTTTGCAGCCATTGCACTGTTTGACGAGAATGTGGTGAACTGCTTTTATCCGGAACCTTCAACTGGAGTGAAAGAGGTCCTCACAGCAATGCCGGTTGGAATTGGAGTAACCTGCAGTATGCTGTTTGTTGTTTTCCCCACTAAACGACATGGCATCGGTTTTCCAGTCACTGCCAGTTGAAACCCTGTCAATCAGTACTATTCAAATTTGATTCAAAGATGCTTTTGTTTCGTGTAATGGATTAATATTTCATCTTATTCGTGATTAATGTTATTGCTTCCTGTCTGTAGTGTAACCACGCTGAACGGAACCTGCAAAAATGATATCGAATGATTGTCACCATGTTTGTAGTTTTCGGTCTCTTCTACTGTTTTACCAAAAAAGAAATACAAAATTAGCAAACGCGAATTATTTCGTATTCACAAGTACAACACGATTTCCAAAAACGTGATCGGTCAATTTTAATTCAATTCATATAACAACAAAGAACGAACATTTTAGCAATCAATCTTAACTCTTCAGCACTCCAGCTCGTCATGAAAAATATAGAAATGAAAAACCTCGATCCAAGTGTATTCGGTAAAAGCTGAGAAAGACCTGATAGCCCTCGACCATCAAATTCATTACAGACAAAAACAGCTACGCGTTCTGGAATTCATCTATCAGCTTGGCATGTAAAAGTTCGGCAGCTTCACGCACTTTCCTCCTATCCCAGAATCCACTGAAAATAGCATTCCACGTTTCCTCATCGGGAATGCATCCATCGACCACCATCTCATCCAAAATCCGAGCAGCTTTGTGCAGATCCGTCTTGCAAAAGCAGCGAATAAGAGATTCAAAGGTTTTCATCTCAACCGATATGCCTCTCGTACGCAACCCCAGATAGATGGGAAAAGCTTTGTTAGGACAACCCTCGGCACAGAAACCTTGTACTACTCTATTATGAACCCGTACGTGTAGACCCCACGTAACACGGTTGGGAGTTATGCCCGAAAGAACCATTTCATCGAGGAAGTTAGCTGCCTCCTGAAACTTGTTCGTCTCACAAAAGCCGTTGATTATTTTTGAATACAGTCCTGCATCGGGTTTCAAGTCTTGAAGCTTCATTCGATCAAGAATCCGAACCGCTTCAGTAATTTTGCCTTCGCTGCAGAACCCTTGAATTAAAGAACTGTAGGTGATCGAATTTGGAACTAGGGATTTCCGAGTCATCCTCTCCAAAAGCTCCATGGCTTGTAAAGAATACCCGTTCTTGCAAAGACCGTCAATGAGAGAACTGTACGTGTACACGTTGGGCTCGACGCCTTTGCTCTTCATCTCCTTGAATAATTCCAATGCATCGGCCAACTTATTCGACTGGCATAAGCCGTGTATCAGGCAACTGTACGAAACAACTGACGGCGAACAGCCATTTGCTTCCATGTCGATCAGGAGCTCTTTTGCCTCGAGTGTTCTCCCATGTCTACACAGCCCGTTAATCAAAGTCCCGTAAGTATACGAATCGGGAGTGTGCCCGTGCTTTGGCATCTCTTGGAAAATCCGAAAAGCAGAATCCATAGTGGTGGCGGTCTTGCAGAGTGCTTTGATCAAGACATTAAGAGAAGGAACACTGGTTGGAATTCCCTTCTGCCTCATGTGGCGGTAAAACTTGAACGCCATTTTCAACTGGCTTTCGCTCACGAGAATGGAGAACACCGTTATGTAGGATTTGGCTGTGGGCTCGCATTCGTAGTCCTTCACCTTACCGAAAACCCTCATCACCTCGAGCGGCTTGTGTACTCTTGCGTAGGCCCTGTAAACGGAGAGGAGTATATCTTCGGTGATGTCGCACTTCTCTCTCTTCATTCTGACAAGCATGTCCTCCGCCGGAACGAACTTGTTGGCGGAGAGCAGGCGGCGGATCATTAGGCCGAACGTGCTCCGGTCGTGGCGGAAGCCATTGGAGTACTCGGCGGTGGCGGCGTCGAATATGGAAATTGCTTTATCCAAATCTCTTTCTGAATAAATCAAACCCTCGACGAGAGATGGCGTTATTTGCTTCGGCCACTTCGTCACTGACTTACTACCCATTTTCAGTTATGTTTTTCTCTTAGGCGTTTCGTCGAACAGTTTGGAGTGCTTGGACTGTCATAAATTTCCAACAAGTATTGGATCGCAGCTGTGAAAATCCATGTCTCCACGTGAGAACGATCGATGATAGGCGGTCCGATTCAAATCAGACGGTGAGTAATTGCCGATAAGCCAGAGAGGTGGCCACTTCGATTCGCTCGGCGCCGCCTCTTTATCAGTTCTGCACAGATTTTAGTTTCGTTTTCTGACAGTGCGTTGGTGGGTTTTTTACATGTACAGACACAGTGGTAATATAATATCCAGCCCAAAAAAAAGGGCGGGTTCTATTGCAAATTAAAAAGACCTTTGTTAAAAAGGGCATGTTATTCTACGTTAGGGCTTTGTTACAAGGGCCCATTATTCAACAATTAATTTGGATTTGATTGATAAAATTTCACATCACCTTTGTTTATACTTTCTATTATAGTTAGGGTGAAAATCGGACAGGTCGAATATGAGTTAGTACTCTCGAAATATTTCATTTTTTAATAGGTGAAAAACTAATTCCAATTATGTTTTGTAAACAGTTGGAAAAATTGAAAATCAAAATTTCGAAAATTGGAACAGAAAAACTTGTTCGAAAATTGAAAACTTTTTTATTAGTTCACCTAAAATATAACATACTCAAACCACTGGATAAATTTTCACTATCGTACAATAATTTGCAAAACACACGAGAGATATAAACCGCTTTAGGCATAAGTCATGCGTGATAGAATATTCGAATTTTTTTTTATGGGTTGTCACCGTGCTCTCTTACTCCACCAATGAAGCCACATCTTTACAAGGCACGAAATCATTTTTCGATAAGAGGTGAAGTTCACTTGATCACTTCAGCTGCAATGATTTTCAAAGATAATCGAATATATTTTACACTAAACTACTTGAGACCTAATTGTATTTTTCTCGATTTAGAGATTATTACAGAACAAGACAAGGTAATCCATTGGTACTGACCTCACACCTACCACCTATTTGGTCATTGACTCGATTCAAAATTGAGGAACTATTAACTACCCTCCTTCAATAAAAGTTTATTTAGGTTCAATTAAGTTAAATAAAGATAGCTAAAATTTCATAAAAAAATATATTATCTGTAGACCGACTCGATTTATTTACACCCTAATTTCGAAATTGAGGGTTTTTATTTATTTTTAAATAACAAATTCAATACCCGTATTCGTATATATATGTACTTCTTAAAAGAAGATTAGATTATATTTTAGATATTTTAGATTATATATCTTTTGAGTAAACCATGGTTTATAATTTTATTGAAACTAAAAAAAAATATTATCGGTAATTAAATTGAAGATAATCTGATAAAGTGGATTAAAATTGGACCCAAATCCTTTATTTAAAGTTCGGGTCAAAATTCAACCCATTAGTAATAGAACAATTTAATTGACGGCCCATAATGTATAAACAAAGCCCGAAACCCGTATAATGAGATTCGTTACACCGAAGCCACGAAACAAAAGATTACAAGCCAAGGAAAGTAGCAAACCCCGAAAATACCAAAAAACACCTAGAACCATATAAGCAACTCTCCAGCTTTTAACACCCAATTTTTTCCCAAAAAGGAAAATTAAAAAATTAAAAAATAAAAAATACAGAAAAAGAAGAGTCAAGTCAAGTTTTATAAAATCAAGACAACAAAAGAAAGAAAAAATTAGAATACACACCAAAACAATTTCTTTTACCAACAACAAAAAAAAAAGAAAAAAAAAAAAAAAAAAGATGGAATTTGATAGAACCAAGAGCTACTTGTATTACTGTAGCAACTGTTCTTTATTTGTTGGTTTTAAATTCAATCTTATTATATTTAATACAAATCCATCTCCGGATCCCAAATTTACATTTCTTCCTTGCCTTTGTTATTCTCAATTCGCAATCACACCTGTCTTTATATATATATATAATAAATAAAATATCCTCCCCATTTGTATTTGTGTTTAACTTTTTTTTTTTTTATTTTGTGTTTAATGTGCATCACATGCCCGTCAAATTCCTCTCTCCTTTTTTTTTTGTTTTCTTTCCTGCCGAGATAGGGAGAGCGATTAATTTAGGGTTTGCTTGGCTGCGGATTGATCTCTAATGGAGGCTGGTTCTGATGGAGAGATCAACAGGAATATGAATCAGAGCCCCGCCGGCGGGTCTAAGAGGCCTAAGCGTCAAATGAAGACGCCGTTTCAGTTGGAAGTGCTCGAGAAAACCTATTCAAGTATGTGCTCTTTTTTTTTTTTTTTGGGATGTTGTTCTTCTCTGTAGTTGTTCTGTGTGTGTGTGTGGGTTTAATTATTTGGGCGAGTTGCTTATTTTCTGGAGTTTAATTTGAGTAATCTGATGATACCTTGTGTGTGTTCAATTGGGGTTATGTGCTAGTGTTTTGGTGACATTTTGTAATTTTTGACCTTTTTTAAGTAGATGAAGATTTGTGACTGAGCCTTTTTAAGTAATTTTTTTTTGTTTTGTAACTGTTGTTTATGACTTCGATTGAAAATTAATTTCACTAGACTGAGTGAAGGAGACTTATGTTGCTGAAGATCTAAATGTGTTGGTGAGTGTTGCATTGGAACCACTGAGTCATCACATTTGTTTTACTGTGGTTCTTTTATGCAGTGGAGATGTATCCATCCGAGGCAACTCGAGCAGAGTTATCAGTTAAATTAGGTTTAACGGATCGGCAATTGCAGATGTGGTTTTGTCATAGGAGATTGAAGGATAAGAAGGAGTCGGTGGTCGGGGCAGCCATAAAGCCACACAATCCTGCGTCAGTTGGGAAGAAGAGATTGACCGAGTCTCCTAGAGAGGAATTGATGACAGTTGAGCCTGTCAGTGGTCATCATGCCTCTGGTTCTGGATCAGCATCTGGCTCAGGGTCAGGTTCAGGTTCGAGTCAGTTCGATAATGGAGATGATCAGCCAATGGCGCCGACAAGGTATTACGAGTCGCCTAGGACAATCATGGAGCGTAGAGTGATAGCTTGTGTGGAGGCACAGCTGGGCGAGCCTTTAAGGGAAAATGGACCAATTCTTGGAGTGGAGTTTGATGAACTGCCTCCTGGTGCATTCGGTGCACCTATAGGTACATTTATTTTATGTTATTGATTATATCTTGAACATCGACATTGTGTTTTGGCTGTGAGGTTTAGAAGACCAGCGTTGTTTATATTAATGTAACTGGTTCTCTTTGAAAAAAAATGAAAATAAAAACCAAAGGACTTTGATAATTTTATGGTTTTCGAAGGATATTAGCTCTATCTCAAATCTGATTTGAAAAAGGGTCAAGTCAACAATTTCATTGTACTTCATAATCCATCAATATTAATGGTGTCTTTGGTGTAAATCTGGGAGTCATTCAAGGTTAAGAGATTCTGCCACTTTCTCTGAGTGGCTGGTGGACTATTAACTCGTGTAGGCTTGCTTCTATTTGTTGTTAATTTTGATCAAGAATATGAAAAAATAAAAACTAAGATGTATGAGAAAATTTTCTTTTCAGTAAATTATCAAATTGTATAAACAAAAAGAGCAGAAATTCGTCGGACCAGGTCAATGCGGGTATAAAGCTAAAACGGTCATATACTCCAAAATGATTTGGGACTTCACCGGTGGTTTGATGTTTCTGTTTTTTTTCTTTCTCAAGTTGCATCTTGTGTTTGTTGGGAATCCCTCATATAAACTATTAACGTGTCTCTCTATTTTTTTACATAACAGTGCAGAGAGAACAACAAGATAGATACAGACATTCTTACGATAGCAAGTTATATGGGCAATACGACTCGAAGCACATCAAAGTTAGTTCCCTAACTTCGTAGATGAACCTACAATGTTTATAAACTTTTAACTTGTTTGCATACGTATACTGAACGACGAATGACAGGTTGGTTGCAAAAACCAGACCTATAAAATTTGTTTTAGGAAAACCTTTTTGTATCCATTCTGAAGATTGCATATGTTATGATGCTTATTCTCTCGATTATTGAAATATTTTTTTGAACTAAAAGAAACCTCACACCCGGACCCCCCACCCCCTAGACAAAAAGATTACAATTTAAGGAAGGCTATAAGTAAAAGAGAAAATAAGAGGTACTCAAGCGAATTGAAAGATTGTGCTGTGTGTTCACACTAAAATGAAAGACTAACATCTTTTATTTCAATTTAAATAATCAAATGGTTATAGTTTTAGAATTTTGATAACCAGGCAGCATCAACTGGTCCTCATGAAGCAGTGGAGTCTAAAATTAGGATTGATGCATATGGGCATGTGGCTGCATCATACCCTTATGAATCACCTGTTGATGGTCACACCTCAAAAAGTTCATCTCATATGCATGGAAATGGGCATCTTCCTAGGGAATATGGTACTGAGGGGCAGGTGTCAAGCATGGATATATATTCTCAGCCAGGCAGGCAGATGCAGTTCCCATCTCCGATAAACACAGATTTCACTACACAGAATGATAATAATTTGCATATGGGGAGGAAGAGGAAGGTACTTCTCGGATAATTGGATTTTGTGCTGCCAACTTTTTCTGTATTTTTCCGTTGGTGCATTCTGATTGTTAATTACCTCGCGCAGACTGATGAAGCTCGAATTGGAAAAGAAGTCCAAGCCCATGAAAAGAAGATTCGGAAAGAGCTTGAGAAACAGGATCTTTTAAGACGAAAGGTTTGGACTATGCTGTCTCGATTTAAGGGTCTTGACTTTATTTTAGTTAATTTACAGAGCATAAGGATTAACCTTTTTTTGAAATGTGGTACTTAATTTTTTTTTCATAGAGGGAGGAGCAAATGAGGAAAGAAATGGAGAGACAAGACCGTGAAAGAAAGAAGGAAGAACAACGAATGATGAGAGAGCAGCAGAGGCAGGAGGAGAAGTTTCAACGTGAGGAAAGGCGTGAAATGGAACGGAGAGAGAAATTTTTGCAGAAGGAACTTTTACGGGTATGCTTAAGCGTACTTATCACTGCTAATGGCATCACTTAAGCCCAATTTTTTTCTTATTTTTTTAGTGAATATTGAACTATCTTTTGTGCTTCTGTATTTTCAGGCAGAGAGAAAGAAACAGAAAGATGAACGTCTCAGAGAGAAAGAAGCAGCAAGACAAAAAGCTGCAATGGAGAGAGCAACAGCACGTAAAATTGCTAAAGAATCCACGGAGCTGATAGAGGATGAGCGTCTGGAATTAATGGAATTGGCTGCTGCAAGCAAGGGATTGGCTTCAATTCTGAGTCTTGACTATGACACGTCACAGAATCTCGAGTCGTTCCGAGGTTGGATAAGTAAAGTTCAACTAATTACGTATTAATATTGTATGATATGGGGTCATTGCCAAACCGTCAGAACATTATAAGAACCAGTCAAATGTCCTTGGGTATTACACCTTTTATTTTCAACCATGTTTGCCTGCTTCCCGTCATTAAGTATCTAAAACTAGATCAGTATTAATTGCATTGGCGATTTGTAAATTGTTGCAGTTTCCAGCCAACTTTTTGACTGTGTAAATTGGTACTATTTTAGATTGAGTAAGTAGCACCATGCTTCTTAGTACTAATGAAACTTTCTGCCGTTCAGAGGCTTTGTGTGAATTCCCTCCAAAGTCCGTGCAATTGAGAAGGCCGTTTGGGTTTCAACCTTGGATAGATTCAGAGGAAAATGTTGGAAACCTTCTGATGGTATTTATTTATGATTTTTTTTCCTTCAAATAATATCTGCTTTCCTTTATTTTTTTTCTCTGGAAATGCACATGTTTTACAAGTGTGCCAAATGATGATTGAATCAGGTCTGGAAATTCTGCATGACATTTGCTGATGTTCTTGGGCTTTGGCCTTTTACCATCGATGAATTCATACAAGCTCTTCATGACTATGTGAGTTGCAAGCTGCATTTAGATTTTTTATACTTCAAGGGTAGCTAATCTCAATTTTTACTTTCCTCGTCCTCTATATTTTCATCTTAGGGTAGCTATGTTGGTATTTAGATTGTCGATCTCTTTTGTGGAGAATGGGGTTTCCATCTCAAGTGTTCATGTTTCCTTTCAAACAGGAATCAAGGCTGCTTGCTGAGATACATATCACAATTCTGAAACTCATTGTAAAAGATATTGAAGATGTTGTGAGAACTCCTTCGGGTGGGCCAGGCACAAACCAATATAGTGCTATTAATCCTGAAGGTGGACATCCTCATATTGTTGAAGGGGTAATTACTCCGTTGCAATGCCTTTCAATTGCTTCATATGTGATCATTTGTGTTTGCGGCAGTTATATTAATTTCCTATTATCATAGCAGGCATATTTGTGGGGTTTTGACATACGAAACTGGCAGAAGCACTTAAATTCCTTGACATGGCCTGAAATATTAAGGCAATTTGCACTCTCTGCTGGTTTGGGGCCAAAATTGAAGAAAAAGGGCATTGATAAAGTTTCAGCCAACGACGAGGTACCTATCACCCACCCACCCACTGCATCCATATGTAACTTTTGAATTTGAGGATTGTGATAATAAATGTACACTGGAGCAGAGTTTTTTCTTTTTCTCAACTGCATCTATATCTAATTTTTAAATTTGAGGATTGTAATAGTGAACTTTCAGGTTTATTTCGAGGAGTATCGAAAATTTATAAATATTCTGTAAATGAAATGTTTTGGCTAATGCGTATGCAATTTCTTCATCTCACATAAATCCAGTGGCGATACTGCACAACCACAAACAGACCGTTAAACACTTAAACTGCATAGTCACTATAATTCACTTATTAGTTCTTCGTTCGTATTTGGTGTCATCACTCCCCAACCATGTACTGTTAAACATTATATTTGCATCACCATTACAAGACATTTTTAATTTTTCAGAGTAAAGGCTGTGAAGAGATAGTATCCACTCTGCGAAACGGTTCAGCTGCTGAGAGTGCTGTTGCTATTATGCAAGAAAAAGGATTTAGCCTCCAACGAAAATCAAGGCACCGGTTGACTCCAGGAACTGTGAAATTTGCTGCTTATCATGTACTTGCCCTTGAAGGAAGCAAAGGGTTAAATGTTATTGAGCTTGCAGAGAAGATTCAAGTAAGCCATAAGAATTTGTAGTTTTTTTTCTTTGTTCTTTTCTTTTCCCCTTCTAATATTGTTTTCTTTTCTAGAAATCTGGGCTACGTGATTTGACAACGAGCAAAACTCCAGAGGCTTCTATATCTGTTGCCTTGTCAAGAGATCCAATACTTTTTGAAAGAATTGCTCCTTCTACATACTGTGTACGGCCAGCTTTCAGAAAGGATCCTGCTGATGCTGAATCAGTCATTGCTGCTGCCAAGGATAAGATACAGAGATATGCAAATGGTTTTCTATCTGGGCAAAATGCTGACGAGGAAGAAAGAGATGATGATTCGGACAGTGATGTTGCTGACGGTGCAGAAGCTGATGCTATAGCTCTCTCTTTGGATGCAAACAAAGATGGTGAATGTAACGAACTTGACTCCTGTTCTGGTGATGGTAAAGACAAAGTTCCTGCTGCTGATGATCTGCAAAATGGAATTAGTACTCCTGGTAAAATTTACGTGTTCCCTTGCTTCTGTCTGCAACTCATCCTGCTGTATTCAATTATAGAAGCTGCAATGTACTATCACTAATAGTCACTCTTTTTTTTTTTCCTTTCTGAAGGTTTTGGGGAGAGTAATCCTGATCAAGGTACTGAGATTGATGAAAGCAAATCAGGTGAACCATGGGTTCAAGGACTCACTGAAGGAGAATATTGCGATCTATCTGTTGAGGAGCGTCTCAATGCCCTTGTGGCCTTAATTGGTGTTGCTAATGAAGGGAATTCAATTCGTGTAATTCTAGAGGTTTGACTTTGTGATGGTTTTCTAAACTGACAATATAAACACATCATCTAGTCCGGCGTTCTAACAAATGAAATTGTTGCAGGAGCGAATGGATACTGCAAATGCTCTTAAAAAGCAGATGTGGGCTGAAGCACAGCTAGACAAAAGGCGTATGAGAGAGGAAATTGTCTCTAAGTATTATGATTTTTCTTTTGGTTCTGTACCAGAGGGTGGTCTTAGTCCACTAGTTGTTGCAGAAAACAAAATATATGACCCAACAGTAACCACCTTAGGAAAGGATTATCCTTCTGCTGTGGCAGAGGGTATTCATAATTCCGTTGACAATCGAGCTCAGGATACAACCATGGATCAGTTTATTCCTCCACCTCAGCAGAACGGACATACAACAGAGAGGTCGCGATTGCAGCTTAAATCTTACATAGGCCATAGAGCAGAAGAACTGTATGTTTACAGGTCCTTGCCTCTGGGCCAAGATAGAAGGAGAAATCGTTATTGGCAGTTTGTAGCTTCAGCTTCCTGCCTAGATCCTGGTTCAGGCAGAATTTTTGTTGAATCACCCAATGGCAACTGGAAACTTATTGATTCTGAGGAGGTATTTACGTGTTTGTTTTGCCTTTCACCCACCCTCTTGTTCATCACTTTCTTTCCGGCGTTATAATTAGGGGCTGTCCCCTTGTTTTACATCTCTGTAATGTATTTTGTCTTGGAAGTAAGGAGTGAGGCATCAACGCTGGTAGTCAGTCTAAGTTAATTCATATATTCTTAGGACATACACTTGATGAGTGTTAACATTTCATTTTATTTCATGTTATTATGCTTTTAGACTTTGTGCAATAATCTAATTAGTTATTTATGCAGACATTTGATACTCTTTTGGCATCTTTGGACACTCGTGGGGCAAGAGAATCTCATTTGCATATTATGTTGCAAAAAATTGAAGTCAGCTTCAAGGAATGTGTTCAGAGGAATTATCGGTCATTCTCTGATATTTTGGATCACAATAGGAACAAGGGTGGTCAAGAAGCAGGTGGAGTAACTTCTAGTCTCGGTTGTGGAAGTGTTGAGAGTCCTAGTAGTGCAGTTTGCAGTTCAAATTCTGATATTTTAGAACCATCAGTTTCCTTCAGAATTGATTTTGGAAGGAGTGGAATAGAGAAAAAGAACCTTCTGAAGAGGTATGAAGATTTACAGACTTGGACGTGGAAAGAATGTTTGAACTCTTCGACTGTGCGCGCCTTGGCATATGGAAAGAAAAGGTGCTCGCAGCTATTGGGGATTTGTGATGTTTGCCTTGCTTTTTATGATCCTAAAGAGGACATTTGCCCTTCTTGCCATCAGATTCATGGCAATGTTGGTCCGAAAGGAAATCCCCCCGAGCAGTTTACTGGTGAAAAGAGTATAACAGATGGGACTGACATAATCATGTCAAACTCATCTCCACCCAGAATCAGATTAATTAAGGCCATTGTAGCTTTGCTTGAGGTATGTTTAATCACCTTACCTTAATTTTTTTTCTGCATGTCTAGGCATCTATTCACATGCCAAGCTTTTATGCTACTAATTACCCTCACCATATCTGACAGGTCGCTGTTCCATCTGAGGCCCTTCAGTCTTCTTGGACAGAAGACCTTAGGGAAACTTGGGGCTTAGAGCTGCAGAGATCTACATCAATCGAGGGTCTTCTACAGGTATTAGCACTGACTAACAGTATTCTATCATGGAATGCCTATCGCCTTTTTTCTTAATGCCCTGAACTTTTGTTCTTTTTTTTGTTTTTCCATTTTAGTTGAGACTGCCGATATATAAGGTTGATCATGTTCTTGAAAATGTATGCAGGTCCTGACTCAGTTTGAGGGGTTCATAAAACGTGATTATCTGTCAGAAGATTTTGAGACGGCGGAAGAATTATTAAGTTGCGACTCATCAAGAGGTGCTGCCAATGGATTTAAGGACCCTGGATCTGTTCCTCAACTTGCTTGGATACCAAAAACTACTGCTGGTGTGGCTCTGAGACTTTTGGAGCTCGATGCATCTATCTTCTACACTCCAAATCAAAAGGCCGAGTCTTATGAAGAAAAGAAAGTAGAGGCTCTTCCAGTTGAGTCTCCTCTCTCCCCCCTCCCTCCCTCTCTCACGCAGACACACACACACACACATAGTACCACACTCTTATCCATACTGTACACCTTAGTATGGGGTTTCAAGCATGAACATTATCTTTGTAGTTCACATTTTTTGAGTGCAGAATCCCTTAAAACCTTCTTACTGCTGCGTGCAGAACTTTGCTTTAAGGTACGGTTACACAAAGGACACCCAAAAGGTCGACACTATGGAGTTCGATATACATGGACGTATAAAGGAGGAAGACTGGGATCATCACACACCTGGCAGTTCTGGGTACAGGCAAGTGATTCGTGGCCGAGGAGGAGGCGGCCGCCCCCGTGGTGGAAAGTCTCAGAAACGAGTCATGGGCTCATCACAATCTGGCAAGCGTACTGGTAGTGCAAAGCAGCAAGGTGAGCCGTTGACGCAAAGTTTTATGCAGCACAGTGTAAGAACACCTGGACAGAAGCATGGACGGGGTAAAAGAACCGTTCGGAGGAGAAGAGCGGAGGAGCAGAAAACCGTTCCTGTAGAGAATCTACGGGATTACTTAAACAACGAAAAGGGCACCTTTCGGAATAATAATAATAATGTTGAAAATTCGGTTAATTTTAGGGCTGGAAATGTTGTGGTTGAAGAAGATGAAAGCAGCAGAAGCAGCAGTAGCATGGAAGAAGAAGCTGGTGATTCTGATGATAATAATGGTAACGAGAACATGTACCAATACGAGAGTTGGGGAGGAGAAGCTGCAACTTATGGTGTTCCTCCTAATAGAAGTAATGAGATGGTAGAAATGAGTGAAGAAGAAGACGATGCTGATGGAATCGAGGAAGAAAATTATAACGATGAAGAGGAGGAAGAAGAAGAAAACGATGATGGTGAAAATTTGGGGAGATATAGGGAGTTTAGTGAAAATGATGGTGGTGGAAATTTGGAGGGACATATGGGATTCAATGAAAATGACGACGACGATGATGATGACGATGATTCGGATGGAGACGAAGAACAGAACCGCGACCATGGTTCTCCGTCGGTTTCTGAAGACTACAGTGACTAAGGCCACCAAACTTCGGGTGATTCCGGTATATTTTAAAGGTTTGATTCTCTATTGTGATATATTGTTTTAGATGTGACAGTTTTCATATTGTAAGCTAGTCTTCCACCAAATTTGTTTGGTGCTAATTATTTCACTGTACTACTTCACATGGTGTTGTTGTCTACCTATCAGGTTACAGAGCTGTTGTATAAGCATATATTATGTATTGTTCCCCGAAAATGGATGTACATGTGTTATATTGTTAAGCTTGAATAATTATATTTTAATTTTAAATATAATCTGAGAGTTGTGTTGGTATTAGGCACAATAATCTATGGTATTGAATAGTTTAATTATATATGTAAACATCTCAAAATTTTAATCTTTTAAGACAATAATTGCTTTTGTTTATTCTCTTCTATATAAACATCTCAAAAGTTTTATGCCCACCAGGAAAAGAGGCCAACCAAACTAAATCAAGACAAGACAAATACCCAACAGCTACTCCATAGAACAAACCACAATTTCCAAACTCATGGGGAAAGTAGTTTCTTGATCCCAGATTTCTGCTCAGCGGTTAACCTAGTCGGAAACTTCACGTTGAACTTAATCCTCAGATTGCCCCTTCTAGAAGGTTCTTTAGGAATGGGCATTCCCTCTCTGGGCACCACCTCTTCATAGTTAGGGTGGATCACACTGTTGATAGGTATAGTCAAATTCCTCCCATCCAATGTGGTGAGGTGGACCATGTACCCCGTTAATGCTTCAGCGAGCGATATTTTCTGCGTAAAAACAAGATCATTTCCATCCCTTGTGTACACACTGTGTGGCTTCTCGTCTATTATGAATATTAAATCTGACGGAATTATGTTCGGCTGTTCGTTTCCTTTTTCCGGGAACGTGATCTTTGTCCCCTTTTTCCAACCCGGTTTTATATCAATGGTCAGGATTTCTTCCACAGGCAACGTCTTCCTGCACAAACAGAAACACTCATGAATTAATATATTTTATTTTCTTGAAACAAAAAGGCAAGAAAGCAATCAAAGAAGAAGAAAGGTAACATACCCACTGGCATCAGAAATCTCCCTAGAAATTTTCATCCTCTTTGTAGCTCCCTTGTACAGCTCTTCTAAGCTGCAAGGCAGTTTCTGCTCGATCGGGGCCGCCTTTCGTGGGCCCGAATTCATAGGCCTGCTTTCCCCAAAAGAGCTAAACATATCATCTCCAAACATGGAACCACCGGAAAACCTTGTACCACCACTCCTCATCCCACCACCACCACCACCACCGCCTCCCATACCTCCAAACGGGCCTGAAAACCCAAAGAACTCCGAAAATATTTCATCTGCATTCCTGGGGTTGAATCTGAACACGTTTGGTCCGTCCCCTGTTTGGAAGAACGTCGCGCCGCCTGGACCACCGCCGTCAGACGGCGGCGGCGGCATTTGACCTTTCAAACCTTCTTCGCCGTACTGATCATATACAGCCCTCTTCTGCGGATCACTCAGAACCTGCGTCAATAATCAAGTTAATAAACAGTAACAAAATAACAATAACAAAAAAAAACCCTAAATCAATTAAAATTGGGGGAAATCCGACGAACCTCATAAGCTTCGGAAATCTGTTTGAATTTGGCCTCGGCATCTTTCTTGTTGTTGGGATTCTTATCAGGGTGCCACTTCATTGCAAGCTTCCTGTAAGATTTCTTCAAATCGTCGTCGTTTGCGTTCCTGTCAACCTGCAACACCTTGTAATAATCCGCACCCATCTCTTCGAAAATATCTGTGTTCTTAATTACAAATGAAAGATATACTTCGCTGTTTTGTATACAAATTCTAAAACGGAATTACGGTGCAAGAGCTGTGTTTTTTCAGGGTTTAATCTGATCGAATGATGATGGTGGAGATTTTGATGTGGCAAAAGATGGCTCTGGAAATTATCACGGTGGGATATGCTAGAAAGACGTGGAACTTTCCAGATTCCGGTTGGATCCGTTTTCACTCGGGTTATGGGTACCGCTATTTTCTACCCGAACCTGTTTACTCCCTAGATCCGATTATAAATATTTATTTATTATACTTAAAAATAGGAAGATTTATTTATTTTTAGTACGATTATGAGGATTAATCTTTGCTTCTATAATTTTCACAAATCGTAAAGCAAATATTAATACATTCATATTTCTGGTATATGTAATTATAAATTACTCAAAAAAAAAAATTATAAATTATAAATTACAGCCACCTCCCATAAGGTCAAATTACGAAAAAAAATTCCTCATAATTAGATAACCATTATCTATGAATCTTCTTACACATCCACCATTACAGTGTGAAATTTAGTGGAATTTTCTAAATTATATGAAATATTCTCAAATTTGTACCCATTTTATCACATTCAAGCTCCACATTTTGAGACAAGATAATCATAAGATATGTTTTTTGGTTTGTATATATCAGATTGTGGTGCATCAGAAATTGTAATTTTGCACAAATTAAGTACAGACTAGAGAATATTTCACATAATCTAGAAGATTATGTTAAATTCAACACCACAAAAATAGACGTGCAAGAAAATTTATACTTAAAATGTAGTTGTAATTATCCAAACACAAAGGGTTTTTTTTCGTAATATGATCTTAACTAGGATGATTTTAATTTACCCTAATTATAAAAGGAAATACTTGGTATGTAGAAGATGTGACCGTTAAGTTTCACGGAGAAAAAGTGAATGCAACGTTAAACATGTGTTTAACTTGTGTAATTTTGGTAAGTCAGCCAACCCACGTACAGCTTAAGCTATTATATTACCGTTTAAGTTGCCTAATTAACACTCTTCTATTTAAGGTGATTAAACTATTAGTAATTTAATTATAATTTCCCCTACTTCAATTCTTCTCTCTCCGTATCTTAAAATCAGTGTACTTTCTGGCAAAAGCTCCCTTGCCCATACAAATCCCGTGCCCCCATGCTCCACCGTGCTCCGCCGCCGCAACACTCAATATCGTCTCCAACGAAGAATTGCCTCATGATTTCCACATTCACACGCACACGCTGTTGAACTCCGTCGTTTTTATCGCATAATGTCGGCGATTTCGGCCTCGCGCTTCAGCTTTGCCGTCGGATCATCCCGCCCCGCCGCTTCCTCCACTCGATCAACTCCCGACCTGCACCTTCCGTTCGCAACCTCGTTAAACCTCCAGACGAACCGATTTAACCCCGGTTTAAGATCTCTCAATTTCTTCTCTAACCCTCCACAAGCCTCGACCGCCAATGGCAATGTTGATATTTCTGCGGAGGGCTCCTCGGCTGCTGTTACATTCCTAAACGACGACGCGGCGGACGCAACCGTATTCATAATCCAAGCGAGAAATAGATTAGGGCTACTTCAAGTTATCACTCGAGTCTTCAAAGTCCTTGGTCTCACTATCGAACGAGCCACCATCGAGTTTGAAGCAGATTTCTTCATTAAGAAGTTCTATGTTACTAATTCAGAGGGCAAAAGGATTGAGAATCCTGAAAATCTGGAGAGAATTCAACATGCATTGATTGAAGCAATTGATGGTGGCGATGATACTCGCGGACAGGTGCAGGCTGGTGGAAGAGGGGTGGTGGTCAAGAAATTGGGGTTAGGGCTGGAATCCTCGGGGCAGAGCAGAGGTAAGGCGGAGAGGATGTTCAGACTGATGGATGAATTTTTGAAGAATGATCCAATGAGTCTGCAGAAGGATATCATTCATCATGTGGAGTTCACGGTGGCAAGGTCCAGGTTCAGTTTTGATGATTTCGAAGCATATCAGGTATGAATACGGCTCTAAGATAGTTTTCTTATATATTTATGAATAATTGTTGGATGTTTTGGTTGATTGCCTCAAGGTTAGTCTCGTATTGCTGATATGTGATTTTCAATTTTGGAATGTTTCCCCTTCTAGTGTATGGTTGACTGTAAGGGAAAAGGTAGACAAGGAGGTAGAGACTTCCCTTGAGTTACAATTCAAATTGATGTATATGTACTTGGAAAAAAGAGAATCCATCATGGTTGAATATATTAGCTCATTACCCATCAAACTTAGCCACATAGTTTGCTGCGACATGACTTTTATATGAGGAATGCTCGATGGGCCATGGCAATGAGTTTTGCTCTGTTGAAATGTGGATGTGTTTTGCTGGAGGATGAAATATGTATGTCTTCTGTTTAGTTTTCCTTTTGTTCTGTAATTTCTAGTAACTGTATGAGCAGACTTAGAAGCTATTTTTGTCTGAACGTTAGATGCATTATGTAGCCGTATTGCGCGCATGAAGCTTGGGCAGGGGTGTAGTGCACTTATCTCAAGGGCTTGAACTTTTATCTTATAGACATTTGGAAGCAATCCACTAGAAACGCATGTTTGAACCCTGGTATTATTTCCTCGGGTTGATTTGGGGGGTTGTTAGATGTACTTCACATTGTAGTCCATGACTTTTAGCTGACATCACATTTTTTAAAGCTTTTTGAGATTGTCTCACGAATATTGAACATTGGTGATTGATGTATATTGTGGATTTTTGTGCAGGCATTATCACATAGTGTAAGAGATCGCCTTATTGAGCGGTGGCATGACACTCACCAACATTTTAAGAAAAAGGATCCGAAGCGCCTATATTTCCTTTCACTTGAGTTTCTGATGGGTATTGGTCATCTATGTTCTGTGGCCTTTTTTGGTCTTGTCTAGATAATCATACCCCTGTCTAACTTACTCTTCTCTATTAGTATAACATATTCATTCACTTGGTTTTTTACAAAAACGCATAATATATCTCCAGGTCGCTCATTGTCCAACAGTGTCATAAACCTTGGGATTCGAGATGAGTACGCCGATGCTCTAGCCCAACTTGGATTTGAGTTTGAAGTTTTAGCTGAGCAGGTTAATAATATTCCCAACTCTCTTTTCTGATTACCAATCTTGCAGTATTTGTTACTGAGTAATTTTGCCCTTTAAAACTTATTGGAGCCGAAGAATTACCAGAATTGTATTTGTTGTTGTTTGATTTTGTTATCTTTACATGGATTTAGGACATAGTGTAAATTTATCTTTATGATATGATAAATATTGAAGAAATGATTTCATATTATTTTATGGTTTAGACTTTTTCACACCGAAATGTTAACTTCATCAGCCTCATTCCAGATGCCAGTCTATTGAGTATTGTTCGATTTAATGTTTGAAGAAACCAGTAATCAAACTATTTTTTGCAATAAAATGGGTGCCTATTTGAACTGGAATAGATTATGTTTTATTCCGCTTTCTTATCCAAAAGCAGTAGAAGAATATGCGCCTAAAATGAGCTGGAATATGCTGGTTGAAGCAAATACATGGACTAACTTGTCTTGGGTTAGATGTCAGGTACATTTAAGGATGAATATTTGCAATAAATTGGTTTGAGTACTTTTTATGCCAACTGTCTTTTTACAACTCTACTCCCTTTGTTTGAACTGTCTTTTCAAATGGTCATTTTTCCCGGAAATAACAAGTAATTTTAGTATATGATAGAACAACCGAATTTGGCATGGAGATCCCCAAACCTTTTATACCGAATTTGGTAGCTGAAGTTATATCTTATCCCTTTTTGGGGCATATGAATAGTCTAAGTTGTCCTATGCGGTCACTCATATATCCATTTTCATCCAAAGGAAGGAGATGCGGCCCTGGGTAATGGCGGCTTAGCTCGGCTTTCAGCCTGCCAAATGGATTCATTGGCAACACTGGATTATCCAGCAATGGGGTATGACATAATATATATTGAGTTACTTAGTCTTAGTTTGTCTCAATCTTATTTACATGCATGGCTAATGCGAACTTCTGTTTTCGTTGCTCATGATATCCAAGAATTTGAGATCTTCTGCAATTATTCTCCTCTAGGAAAAGTAATCTTTTCAACTTTATGTCTGCATATATTTTTTAACCTTTTGCAACGCAATGTTTGTTCAGCTGTGGTTCATGTAGTTCGAGGATGGAGTAGATCATCAACACTATTTGTTTTCCTTTCCTAATTTACTCCATGCGTTGATTTCTATCTGTTTCACGTAAGCAGGGTGTCTCATCATTTCACTTCCTTCATGGCTGCATCTTGTTTTGATCATGGGCTGTTTTTTTCTTTTTTGACAGCAGTTTATACTGCCTAGACTTCATTATATGTTCCATGGACATTAGGAAAGTAGGTGCCACTTGCCAGTCAAACCTCGAGTGCTCAATTTTGTTTATTGCTGAACTAGAAATGCCATTTTTCTAAATTGAGAAATTTATTCTGATTATGAAGTTATGCCTTGATCCTTAGCCATTACTTATTAATATTATTGATGATATGTAGCTTTCCCACTGAAGTTGTCGTTCAAGCCATAAGCATAAAATATATACATAGAAGTGACATTGCTAACTTGCTTAGTAGCTTAGTGAAAAGATGTACTTGCATTGAAGCCATATCTCCACAATTTCAGTGATATCTGGTACAATTTGACAATATCTCTGTATCTGCAGGTATGGGCTACGTTATCAGTATGGGTTATTCCGGCAAATTATTGTAGATGGTTATCAACATGAACAGCCAGATTTTTGGCTAAATTTCGGAAACCCTTGGGAAATAGAGAGGGTACAAGTATCATATTCTGTGAAGGTTTGGAAGTAATTCCTGTTCTCTATTGTTTTTTCAGTTTTTCTCTGTAGTGCTTTTTTTAAGATTAATGAGGCCACTTCTTAATATTCTTTATGGATAAGTTTTACGGGACAGTTGAAGAGAAAGCCTCAAATGGAGTAAAATACCATGTGTGGGTACCTGGAGAAACTGTGAGTATATGTTTCCTTTACGGTCCAAGTTTTGATAAATAATATATATCAGTGTTTCGTTCATATTTAAGAAACTTTATTATTGATTCCCCTCTCAGTCCTCTGTATATTGCATTACATTTATTTTCCTGAAATTTTTAACGGCTAGCCATTTCGGCTTTCTTGTGTTTGATGGTAGGTTGAAGCTGTTGCTTACGACAACCCAATACCTGGTTATGGAACACGGAATGCCATTAATCTTCGGCTATGGGCTGCTAAACCTAGTGGGCAATATGACCTGGTAACCTATACTTTGTTTTTCTGGTGATTACATCATATATGCTAATTGGTAATCTGCACACACTGAATGAATCTTTTTGGTCGATGCAAAACATTATCTTGCCATATGGAAAAATTACAGGAATCTTATAACACTGGAGACTACATAAATGCTGTAGTAAACAGACAGAAGGCGGAAATCATAAGCAATGTCCTCTACCCTGATGATCGTTCTTATCAGGTCAATTTGTTGGTTTACAAAAATATTTTTGATTGCTGAATGTTTTGTGTAATTATAGTGAACAATAGCCTTGTAAGATGTAAACTGGTTTGTAGAAGTTGAATACTTTGTTATTTCCTTTTCTCTTCATTTCCTTTTCATTGAGTTTATGCTTACTCCTATATGACTTCCAACCGTAAAGTTTATATAGATGTGGCCAGCTATTTCTAGCTTTTCTAAAACTAGCACTTTCTCTTCTGTCTTTATAGTGAACTGTGTTCAAATGTAAAATATTGGAATTGATTCTCCATTAGGTACACATCATACATTAGTCAACACCGGTGTCTATACTTTGTCAAAACCTGATTTAAATAGAATAAACCTAATTATGACCTTCTCATACCATCTCTGTTTGTACAGCTATAGCTGTCCTCAGTCCTCACTAATTACGATCCTCTTTTCTTCAGGGGAAGGAATTGCGACTAAAGCAGCAATACTTTTTTGTTTCAGCATCAACACAAGATATCATCAGGAGGTTTAAGGACGATCATGATAACTTTGACGAATTTCCAGATAAGGTTGTGAATCCTACATTTTCATTAATGATATGAAGTGTGCACCTGATATGCCATTCATTAGGCTAGCATGGTGATAAGTCGGTCATAATTGGTACAAACTTTACCTTCTGTTTGATGCATTTTGTCTTGTATTTCTGTGTGTGTTTTTTTCTTCTTCCCCCATACTCTCCTATTGATTTTAATGAGAAGTGGGAAATGATTTGTTATTCGAGTTTCCTCAGTGCGAATTGGTGGTAGAGTGGGATTAAATAAAAGTTAGTGCAAGTACTTAGACTGTTATTAACCAACACTATGATGCTGTAGTCAAGCTCCACATCCTTTTTTAATGATTTGGATGAGTTCAATTGTTGAGGTTTGGATAGTATATTTTGCTTTATTTTCTTATTTTGTTTTTTCCATTATGTTAATGAGAGTTCCTATCTGGAAGCTCAGATGAAGGTTCTTAAAAAGTGTATTTGCAGGTTGCTTTTCAAATAAATGAGACTCAGCCTTCACTTGCAATAGTTGAGGTAATGCGAGTGCTTATTGATGAAGAACGCTTAGCTTGGAAAAGAGCATGGGAGATTGTCTGTAAATTGTTTTCTTTCACAAGTCACTCAGTAAACCCTGAAGGACTCGAAAAAATTCCTGTTGATCTTCTGGGCAGTCTTCTCCCACGTCATTTACAAGTGAGTTTTCTATTTGCAGGAAATACATGATACGGGATTACATTTACTGCTCACATGCATAGATTAGAACCACCTTTTCTTCTCAGAATATAAGTTTCCATAAAAGAGAAAAAGAAAGACATGATACCGGATTACATTTACAGCAACATGCATAGATTATCAAAATGGAACACCGATCTTCTTTTGGTTGTTTATGAACTTTTTCTGAACATCTTTGATTTCAGATAATATATGATATAAATCATAATTTCATGGAAGAACTGAAAAAGAAGATTGGCCAGGACTACCGTAGACTTGACCAGATGTCAATTGTGGCGGAAGGTACCGTAAAGGTAACAAACACTATATGAGACCATTATGGTTTATTTGTAATTTGGAAATAATTTGATAGGCATAGATGGATAGGAAACCCTGTTCTATTGGACAGAGTCTGTAATTTCCTTATTCGTCAAGTTTCTGAAACTAGCCTGTCTGGTGAATAATTCCCAAGTTTATTGGTGATTGCCTACCAGTGTTTGTTTTCAGTTTCTAAAAATATTATTCATTTAATGCTTTCTATGTCCCATTGAAATGAATAATCACCCCAGGTGGTATTTATATTTTTATTTACTCTTCTATGGTTGTATCTCACGAATCTAAAACAACAGCTTAACACACAATCTTTTCCTTTTGGCTGACAGACTATTCGGATGGCAAACTTGTCAATCATCTGCAGTCACACTGTGAATGGCGTATCCAGATTACATTACGAATTACTCAAAACAAGAGTTTTCAAGGTAATCTAGAGAATGATATGCAAAATTTCCTTTGCTTTTTATTTGCCGCGACCTTCATGGTATAAAATAAGAATATGCTTTACGAGATTTACTGGTCATGTTCGTTCACTTCATTAACTGTTCCTAGTTGACCGAGTGTAACAAGCTCAATGATGAAATTTTACATCATATATTTTTTCTCATTAAAAATGTTATTATTATTATTATTTTCAATTTATGTGTAATAACGGGATGGAGGTACCCCTTTTGATGGGAAAGATTATAGGTACAAGTATTATCACTCTTGTCAGTACTTATGTGAGAGAGTGAGCAGAGTACTATTTATATTTTTTTGCTGAATGTTCAGTTCAAATTTCTAAGATGGTGAAAATATCAATTTAGAGTTTACCATGTAGTGTGTAACTAAAAGAAAGACATCTATCCATTTGCCATTAATAAATATTTTTTTCTTATACTTCCTAATGCATTTTGATTTTAGAAATGATTTCTTCCCGAGTGACATAGATCTTATTTCCCTTATCAGGAGTTCTATGACCTGTGGCCTCAGAAGTTCCAATACAAGACAAATGGAGTAACACAGGTATACTTCTAGATGGCACAATCATTCCCTTCTACAATGTGATTTATTTTTATTTTTATTTTTAAATTGCATGTATCAGAGGACCCCTTCTCAAGCTTTTTTAGATTTCTGAAATTGTCCTGAATCCATCCTTTCTTTGCTTCGTAACATTTTTTCTGCTTCTTATAATCTCGTCTGCTTTAGACTTCATTCGAGTTCACAACAAAATAAAATCTGACAAGACACATATAGATAACATATCCTGTTACTTATTATGTTTGCCTGGCCATGCAATCTGAAATAGAACATTGATTCCTTTTACAGTTCTTACACCACTCCCGTTCTAAAAAATAATTGATTTTTTTTTCACTTACTTATCTTATCGAGTGGAATATTTCTGATACATGGCGTGTTTTCACATTTCTGACATGTTTATTTATTAGCGGCGGTGGATAGTGGTGAGCAATCCTAGCTTGTGTTCTCTCATCTCAAAATGGCTTGGAACAGAAGAATGGATTCGTAATGTTGACCTCTTGGTAGGTCTACGAGAACATGCATCAAATCCTGTTCTACAACAAGAATGGAGAATGGTACCTACCACCTTTCACTGCTTTACTGTATACTCTTTAGTAAGACCAGATAGGTTCTTTTATGTTATACTCATGACCTATATATGTATGTGTAGGTGAAGAAAATAAATAAAATTAGGCTCGCAGAGTACATAGAAACTTTGACAGGAGTTGAGGTTTGTGGATATTATACTCTGGAGCGGTTAATTTTTTTTGTTCTACTAATTGCTTCAATATTTTTTTATAATATCATCTTCTCATGAATTGTATGTTGGCTGCAGGTCAGTTTAGATGCAATGTTTGACGTCCAGGTGAAGCGAATACATGAGTACAAAAGACAATTGTTGAATATACTGGGCATCATCCATCGGTACTACTGTATTAAGGTATCACATGTTTTATGACTTACCTTGAATCTTGAAACTTCAACTAAGGAATATGCAGTATGAGCTTGTTTTCTTGTCACCGACTATGAATTTCTAGTTTGTCCTCTGCTTGTTAAACTCTGCCTTTTGTGTAAGCAAAAAATGCAGCTCTCACAATTTCAAGTATTTTCGTGCTGCGTTTTCGAGTCATTCCAAATGTGATGAAATTGAAATCCACCACGATGACTCAAGAATTAACTAAAAGTCAACCTGAGAGATTATCTTAATTATATTTTCCGTGGGACCAAGATTGTGTTATTTATGGCATTCTACTCTGTCTACATGTGTTTGTCAAAGAATATGAATGAGAGTGACAGGAAGAAGGTTGTGCCTCGTGTTTGCATAATCGGAGGTAAAGCTGCTCCTGGTTACGAAATTGCCAAGAAGATCATCAAACTCTGTCATGCTGTGGCAGAAAAGGTCAACAACGATGCTGATGTTGGGGATCTCCTCAAACTGGTACGGGAAGAGCAACAAATGTTCTCCTTTGTTAATTTCTTAAGTGAATAAGAGATCTATTATATGTCATTTCTGTGTTTAATTCATCAACCAATAATAAGTTGCTTCTAAAAGAAACTAGCTAACGCAAATATGCAATCACAAAAGGGAGATATTTATATAGAAGGCATGATGCTACATAGTCTATTCATCTTGTGCATTTCTTCATGTATGTATGCATACACATATGCTAGATAGATGCATAACCGTCAATATTTCTAGTATCGGATGGGAAACATTACATATTTTCCTTGAGGTGCTCGACTAATTATCTTTTTAGGGAAGGAAGGTCGTACAGGAATTGTTGCCCCAAATCCCTGCTTTAAAGATCTTTCACTAGTAATTCACTTGATTGTTTCCGTTTCAGATTTTCATCCCAGATTACAATGTTTCTGTAGCTGAGATGGTTATCCCAGGCAGTGACCTTTCACAGCATATCAGGTCTGCCATCCTCGGTTCTTTCATGAATGGGAAGTCGTGGCTTTGTTCACTCACCAAATAATTTTGTTTTTGTTTTGTATTTTTCTTTATGGGCCCTTACAGCACCGCAGGGCACGAGGCATCAGGAACAAGCAGCATGAAATTTCTGATGAATGGGTGCTTACTATTAGCCACTGCAGATGGTTCAACAGTCGAAATCGCTGAAGAAGTAGGATCAGAGAACATGGTAATGCTAACAAAGTCAAATACACATATTTATATTCAATCATAGTCAATAAAACCTTACTGTTTATTCTCCTTCTGCCCCCAGTTTCTCTTTGGTGCTAAAGTACACGAGGTTCCACAATTACGAGAGAAAGCTACTTCTGAAGTCCCTATCCAGTTTGTTCGAGTCGTAAGGTATTATTATTATTACATTCTATATATACCATGGTTGTATAAACTCGATCGCATTTCTATCAACTTGTGAAAGAATTGCGATTATATATATTATTTGTAGAATGGTTCGAGATGGTTACTTTGGTTTCAAAGACTACTTCAAGTCGTTGTGCGACACTGTGGAAGACGGGAAAGACTTTTATCTGCTGGGGTCTGATTTTTCCAGTTATCTCGAGGCTCAGGTAAATTAATTGTTCAACAGTAATGGAGGAGAGCATTATTATTATCATTATTTATTATTAACTAAGTAATAGTAATATAATTTATTATTACTACCACAGGCAATGGCAGATAGAGAGTTTGTGAATGAAGAGAAATGGACAAGGATGAGTATTCTAAGCACAGCAGGTTCTGGAAGATTCAGCAGTGATAGAACTATGGATGAATATTCCAAACTATCCTGGGGAATCCAACCTTGCAAATGCCCCTTCTGAGACACACAACCAACCATCTTTTGCTGTAAGATGAATTCATACTTCAATTTTAGATTAAAATATGCTCTCCTTTTTTTTCTTTTTTATTTCTGCTCATTTTTATTTTTATTTTTCTCAATTAGTTTTTTATTTTATTTTATTTCCATTTATAATGCCATCTTCATATTAATGTGTATATTGTCAAGGATAATTAATTGCACATCAAATATTGAACAAAAATGATATATGTAGTAAAAAAACATAATAAAAATAGAGTAAATATTCTTTATTTATAATTTTACATACAATTTTAAGTCTAATTACTCATTTTTTTAATCAAAAGAAAATCGTGATAAATCACCCTAAATTGTTATTATATATATCATTATAAAAGAATTGAAATAGAAGGAATTTTAATTCTTAACCACTCTTTTGTATACGTCATCATCATGGTCATCAATTGTGATCTTTTATCCATCTACAATTATCACTTCTCCCACAAAAAGCAAACGAGAAGAAAATGGAGAACACAAGTTGGGAGCAAAAGGTAAACGCGTTGACCCACATCCTGACCAACCCAACCACCACCGCACCTCCCCTCCACTCTCAGCTATTCATAGCCACTCAAATCCCCTGCTATCTCCACTGGAACTACCCTCCACTCCTCTGCCACCACTCCGCCGCCTCATCTCCGCCGCCGCTCATGAGGTGGGCCTTGTTACAGTTCTTCAAAAGAGCTTCGAGATTGGGGCTGCCGGAGACCTCTTGGCGGTCGAAATGCCCATACCAACTGCCTCCGCCGCTGGTTTTAGCCGACGGGCTGAAGAAGGCGGAGTGGGGCGGAGAAGAGAGGAAAAAATACGTGCGGGAAAGACTGAGAAGGAAGAGGCTGGGCAGTAACGTTAATCCCTTGATTCCGATTGTTGTTCCCAATCTTTTGTTGCTCTCTCTTTTGTTTTGGGATCCCATTCCGTTTGACCATACCTGAATTCATTTATTATTCTTTATTTCTTCAGGGGAATTTTCACACGTGACTGTAATTTGAGCTGATTATGTTCATCTTTTTTCTGTTTTCTGGGTTCCATTTGTATATTAGCAGTTGGAAAGCATCATCATTTATCTCTCTCTTCTGTGTGGATGTATTAATTAATTAATTAATTGATTTTATTATATTAATTACCAATTATCAATTATATATATAATATGTTTAAAATTGGATAAAAAATCTAAATCTTATATATGCTCTGATTTGCTGAAATTTCGGGCCCAGATGGATTAATGAAAAAAAAATCCAGCCCATGAAACCCTTTTTCCCAACAACCCAAAAAGCTCAGGTGATCGGTCAAACCCTGAGAACTCCGCCTCTCTCCCAAACTCTACTTTCAGATCTTTTCCCCGTCGTTATGTTCTGGTCGTACCACCATATTGAATGGGGTCTTGGCATTTTCTGTTGACATTCCGTTTGATTGAGACAATCCTTCTTTTCCATCTATGTAACAAATTATTTTGTGAGAAAAAGTGTAGAACAAACTCATTTGAATCTCTTCATCGTTTCTTCAGATCTTTGTTCTTCGGTGTGCTAGTGAGATATTTAAATATTCAAATGTGTGGATAAATATTGTATACACTTCTGGAAGGAAGGATAACTGCCTAAGTGGACCTTTTTGTTGATGTTCATAGGTAGGGGACTCAGTTGAAAACAAACAAGCAACGCACATGGCCTCAGAGAAATGGATGTACAGTACACATTGAAGAATAAGTAGATAAATAAATAAATAAAAGTTAAATTCGTAATTTTATATATTGCTCCCTCTGTTCGACAATAATTGTCTCTTTTTTAAAATATTTTTGTTTCATATTATCTATCACTTTAGATTTACAATACTGCATTAAATGCATTTTTCCTGTTTTAACCTTATTAATGAAACTCTATTCATTAATTTTCTCTTATAAATTATTAAATATTAAATGTTGTTTTAGTCATTTTTATATGATTTTTCTAAATTGAAGATATATTTATTGAGTTTCTTAATATTTGTAAAAAGTGAAAAGTGACAATTATTTAGAAACGGAGGGAGTAATTAATATTATTTCTATATATATTTACTAGTTATTATTTATTTTATTATATATATATTTCGGAGTGGTTAAAAATGGAGGGAAACTAAATATGCTGTTTTGTGGACCTGCATGAAATTATTTGCACCCCGCTAATCGCGCAAGAATTTCGCGCTTAGCCCAAGAAAAGACATGGGTAAAGATGTTGACAAATTGAAAAGGTTGATTAGTCAAACCCTAATTTAACTAACTTAATCTGTGATTTAGAGAAACCACCTGCTTTCATTAATTCCCCCAATTCCCAAATTATTTAGCGTCATCAGCGCCGTACGATTTAGTAATTAAGATTATTATTATTGTGTTCAAAAGGTTGGATAAAATACATAGCTCCTATAATTTGGAAATTAAATTAATCAATTCCGTGATGTTTCATCCACGGTAAATATTTTCTTCTTAACTAAGCTGCAGAGGGGTGGTCCACACTAAGCGAAACTCTTAATGAGTCCGTTGGGTTAAATTCATGTTAACAGTCGATAAGCTATCATGCTGATAAGTTATTGAGTCTTATTTTTAGAATTAATTTTTGAAGTGTTTGACTAATAACTTATAAGTCAGTTTGTTTTTAAATTTTAAACTATTAACTCTTAAACAACTTTATAGTTGTTTTTAACAGCTTGCAAACTTAGCCCGGCATCCATCGAATACCAATTTTTGGACTTTTTTCATTGTAGGAAATAGGAAAATAATAATGAATACAAGCCACATGCATCCTTAAAAGCATGAAAATAACATGGGAGGCTAGTAATAAGTAATAACGCCTAATTCAATAAGTGAACCACTTATTGATTCCCCATATTTCAATTTCAAATTAGTTGTCTATCAAAATAAAACAAGTGAGCCGCACAATGAATGAAAATATTGAATCTCACAATCTTCCTTGCAACAACGATTCTTTCCTATAGTTATATCAAGCATAAATAGGCAACCGAAAAAATTAAAAGCCATTGAATACTAATCATGAAGTGTGATAACTCCATCCTAGCAAACATTTAAAAATGGAGCCCATGAAATGAAAGTGAGTTTGGCATATATAAGATTTAGATTAGTCATGATTAACTAACTAATTGGATTTGTTTGATGTTTGGCATTCCAGTAACTTGTCGGTTTGACCCGTAAATATTATGTTATCATAGATTATCTTGTATTTTAGGTAGTTTTTTTGTTGGATGTCATGAGGCCCGATGCAATAATTAAGATTTCAATAGATTATATAATTTTATCTTGACAACCAAACAAGACATTAATGATTATTTGATCACCTGCCTAACGGATGGGGGCCTCCCTCATTTCAATTTTAGTAGTCTTTGCAAAAGCAAAAGAACCTCTTTTCCTTTTCTCAAAAAAAAAGAAAGAAAGATTATAATAATAACATATAAGTGATGATTTTAACTAAATGGTCTCGTTGAGTTCTTAATTAGTTTCAATAATATATATTCGATAAGCTACCAATCGTGTTCAGCTGGCTCAATTAAAACTTATTCGAACTCGACTCGATTGCTTATAAAACCTACCTCAAACACAACTTTAAAAATCCAATAAAAAAATCGAATAAACATAAACAAACATGTATTTAGCCCGAGTCGATTCATTCACACCCCATAATATGCAGATAGGCATGCAAATTGTGAATGAATATGGAGGAGGGGTCCCCCAACCCCATGAAACCTCCATAAGTGAAGAAAAGTTTGGTGCAAGGTTTAATTAATATTTTGAAGGGCACATGCTCTTTGTGCACTCAATGGTAGGACTATCATT